TATATATATTCTAGATTTACTTTTTTATGTTTCTGGACTTCTTTTTTAAAGAAGTTTCACTTCTCATCCAGGAAGTATCTCCTAATAAAACCTGAAAGTGTAGTTTTTGACAGTATGATAACCTTCAGCAAAAAACACCACTGATTCACTGTATTATAGTTTTTTATGTTTGTTTTTTATTGAAATGCAAAATATATATCACATTTTTCTAAGTAATGATTGGATTGTATATATAATAGTACATTAATACCTGGCATAATATGTTCTAGTTATTTTATTGAAGTATATTTAGTAAAGTTTATTTGAATTTGTTCACAGAGGCTCTTAAAAATTTAGCCAGCCTAAGGTCATTATTTCATCTGCTAATATGGTAACTTTTGTAGCTTGTTACAAACATTTGTTGTTTTTTCGTAAACAGGGTTTCATCGAAGGCGAGACGTGACTGATGGTTAAAATGTTGACAAGGTTATATTTTAGTAATGGGTAAAAATGTAAAAAAAAAAAAAAGCAGGCTTTTACTCCATTTCCTCTTTGAAAGGCAGTTGAAAAGGAACAATATTCAATTCAGTTCAACCGTTATTTTTACAGGTTAGTCTCATTGAGCCTCGAGGACTCATTCACAAGAGAGACCTGTTTTTAATAAAGATTGATGACAACAGTAGAGAAAAGAAAGCATATACATTGAAAAAATAAATGGAAGAAATTTAAGTTAAAAAACAGCTAAATTATAAAGTGATATAAAATACTAAAAACAGGAACATGTCTGCATTGGTTTTTGCCATGAACTTAGCAGATTCTTAAAGCCACTTAGAGAGGTCAAGATCGAGAACTTCAGATCTTTTTACAAGACATTCCAGGAAACAGGAGCGGAGTAGGAGAAGGCCCCTTTGCCTAGTTCAGTCCTCACTGAGGGAACACTGCAGGTAATAATGTTCTGAGAGCGCACGCTGTAGCTGCACTCACACAGAGACATGTAGGAGGAGATGTAAGAAGGCAACAGACCAAGAAGTGATTTAAAGATGAAAATGTACCAGTGAGAGAGTCTGCATGAAGTTAATGATGTCCAGTTAACCAGTGAATACAGGGTGCAGTGGTGGGTACGATAATCACAGCCAGTTATGAATCTTAGTGCACCATGATAGACAGCATCCAACATCTGCAGGGTTCTTGTAGGAGCGTTCATGTAAATGTCACCATAATCAATGGAGGGAAGGAAAGTCACTGATACAAGGCGTTTTCTAGTGTTCAGAGTTAGTAGACAGAATCTATTTCTGAAAAAGAAACCCAGTTTAACTTTCATTTTCCTTACCAAGTTTTCAGCATGAGGCTTAAAAGAAAGATGTGAATCAACCAAGATACCCAAGTATTTGTAAGAATCGACAAATTCAATAGGAGCACCATTTGAAGATAAAATCTAGGAAGGACTGTTAGGACCGACTTCCTGTTTGAAAACAACATCCCTTTGATTTTGTCAGCATTTAGAACAAGTTTGAGATGGAACAAATATGACTGGTTGATGTCAAAAGCAGATTTCAAAAGCTGGCAAGCCTTAGCAACAGTTTTAGCTCGACAATAAACAACTGTGTCATCGGCATAGAAATGTAAGGATGCATTAGGGATGTTTTGACCTACATTACATATGTAGATTGTGAAGAAGGTGGGACCTAAGACTGAACATTGTGGTACACCATTGTTAACAGTTAGATAACTGGAAGAGGTATCATTATGTTGAACACATTGCCTCCGGTCTGAGAGATAGTTAGAGAACCAACCAATGGTGTGATCTGAGAAACCAATTTCTGAGAGCTTATGACACAAGATGTTATGATCCACAGTGTCAAAAGCTTTAGACAGGTCTAAGAAAAGTGCAGCACAATAATCCTTAGCATCCAGTGCTTCAACAACATCATTAAGAACCTTCAGTGAAGCAGTGGTTGTGCTGTGTTGTTTCCTGAAACCAGATTGATGTGGAGGTAAGATGTTAAATGAGTCCAGGTAATTTTTGATTTGAGAGTTTATCAGTTTTTCTAGAACCTTGGCTAAAATGCAGAGTTTAGAGATTGGTCGATAGTTGTTCAGTGAGGTGGGGTCACCTCCCTTCAGCAAAGGAAGAACAAAGGCTGTTTTCCAAGTGTTTGGAACGGTGTTTTGTCTTATGGACAGGTTAAAGATGCGAGACACCGGTACTGCAATGATATGAGCAGCCAGCCTTAAGAAATAAGGTCCAAGTTCATCAGAGCCTGCAGATTGTTTTAGAATCTAGACATTTGAACAATTTATTAACTCTAACAGAGAACAACAAAAATTAAAAGGTGTGGTTTACTGAGGATTGACTTTGGGGAGAGAGCTATGATTTGTAGAAATGACATTAAAAAAATGAGTTGTGTCCGTTGATGTCCATTTCCACTCAGTTCTACCCCACCCAATGCTCTCCAATAAATAGAAGACCTCTTCTCTGCAGCCTGGGTGTCTGGTTGATTTTCAAACTTCTCTAAAAGCATCTCACAACCCACTATCTCTTCAGATCCCCACGTTACTTGGATCATGATGTTACTTATACATATGTATTTAGTTTATGTTGTTCTACTAAGCTAAAAGAAAAGGGATAATTTTAGTTAA